TCTTCTTTGTGTGCTCGTGTTTTACAATGATTTTCCGTCCACCCCCCCCCCCCCCCCTGCCTTTTCCGTGCCCAGTCATGTATTGCTCACGCTCCCTCGCCAAAAAGAAGAGACAAGTTGAACAGATGCATACTCTGTTATGTTGGATTGGTGTTGCTCGATGTTGCTTGATGATTACTGATGTTGATTAATTTTTGACTGATGATGATTACAGTTGGTAGGTCATAGGCTCGTTTCACGGTGGTGTCTTTTGGTTCACTGTGTAGTTAATACATAGGTATATTTGGAATTGTCACCAGAGCTACGGAGTTTGTGCTAAGTGCGACACTTTCGGCAGGATGTTAGCCGTTCTTCGGAGAGAGACAAAGCGATAAGAGATTAAACACAGTACAGTGAAGTAGATCGTCTTTAAAAAAAAAAAGAAAAAAAAAAGATTAGTGTTGACTGATGTCGATATATGATTACTGATGTTGACTGATCATGATTGATGTTGAATAATATTGACTGGTGATGACTGATAATGGCTGTTTTTGCTTGATGTTAATTAAGGTTGACTGAGGATGACTAATATTGGTTGATAATGAGTGATGTTAACTGATTTTGACTGATGCTGACAAATGTTGACTGATGCTGACTATTGTTGACTGCTAATGACTGATATGAATGCTGTTTATTAATGATGACTAATGTTGATTGATGCTTCTTGTGGGGTTTGCCTATGATCAACTAAAACATTGCCTCTATCCTGTCTGGTCAGTGTTGGAAAGAAAATCAGCACCAAGGCTGCCGGTTCTAATGAGAGAGAAGATATCACACATAGCTACAAGTACCCACAAGGTACATGTTCACTTCTTTATCATATAACTGGCACACTGTTTGTATAACTGACATACTGTCACTAAGATGACAGACACACTGTCACTGTGACATTATATAACTGACACACTGTCACTATAACATTATATGTCTGACACACTGTACCTATAACATTATATAACAAAGACACTGTCACTGTAACATTATATAACTGACACACTGTCACTGTAACATTATATAACTGACACACTGTCACTGTAACATTATATAACTTACACACTGTTACTATGACACTATATATCTGACACACTGTCACTGTGACATTATATAACTGACACACTCTCGCTGTGACATTAAATAACTGATACATTTTGTGTGACTTTACCTTTGGAACATATCTGAGGTTACAACACTGGTTGAGTCATGCAGCCACAATGTATATGTCTGGCATATCAACATATAACTGAGGTGAGCATAGATCCCGTTTTCACCGGAACAATCCGGTGTTTTAGGTGTACCCCGGCCGTCCTGTCCGAACTACAAGAAGATAAAACAAAGCTGCCGCCAATTGTCTTTTTTCATACAGGTCTAGGAACAACTATTAGACATTGTTTTACTAGAGAGTGCAAAAAAGGATTTTCCTTGAATATCAAGAAAACAGAAAAAATGGTTGTATCAAAGAAGAAGATAACTGCATAATGCATATAACGCCATAATGCACAATTATATGTAGAAGATCATACTAATGATGACAACTGTTCCATGGTGTCTAGTTAGCCACGAAAATAGAAATTGGAGAGAGTGACTCCCTTATAATTTTCTAGGGGGCGGGGTCAGGAGCTTGAGCTTTATTTAACTGCAATATAATAACATAAATTATTAGCATTATTGTGCGAAGAATGGCAAAAGCAATAGAACAAAATGCTTGAAATAAAATGAAATGTATGATTAATGCTTAACATGAGAACATCTACGTATGGTGCAAGGGAGAAGAGGTCTTCTAAATATTATTAGTATGGTGGTGGTGAGGGCCTCAAACTTTGTGAGTAAAGTAGATGGGCTCCTGTGCTAGAACCCCCCCCCCCTCACCCCCCTCACCCCCCCCCCTCCAGCCACCGTAACCCCTACCCCACGTTTGACCCAGGTTTTGGCGCCAATGAACTTTCATCTTTACATAGAATTGTCTAACCTGTTCTCCAATCTATATTTAATGTTCCTATCTGTAAATGCCCTCAGTGCCTGTTAGTGAGTGGTCAAGTTCTTGAAAGTCTTAGGTGCGTTTTCTTGATCGCATCGTGCCATCATCATACACGTCCCCACGTGGGACGAATTTTTAGTTATTTCGATGCCCCATCCTGGCGGTTGCCGAGGGCCCTAATATAACCCAACGGTTGAACGGGGTTTCTGGGACCTCTTGAAGGGTGATCCTCATCCGCATAATGGCACTTTGTGTCACCGGTTTTTTTGTCATTCAGTTTAATGTCCTAGTGGGGGGGGGGGGAGTAAAAGATGACTCATTCATCGCATCGTGCGGTTCACGGGTAAAATAATCGTCTCTGGCGCAGCAGAATTGTTGCTTGATGAGAACACTGGAGATGTCACTGCTAGCCTTTCTGAGGAAATAGACATAGTCCTGTCAATTGCAACTCGGGACATACAGGATTACAACACGGAGCTGTGAAGTCAATCTTCTCAAATTGTAACCTTATTTCCTAGCTAATGATCACCAGCACCGTGGGCATCTGAACAAATCTCAAGTGATGCAGACTATAAACTGATGTTGGGGAATAAACGGTTGTAGGGGTACAAACTGATGTTAGGGCATAAACTGATGTTGGGGCATAAACTGATGTTGGGGAATAAACTGACATTAGGGAATAAATTTCAGTTAGGAAATAAAATGTTCGGCATAAACTGATGTTGGGGCATAAACTGATGTTGGGGAATAAACTGATATTGGGGAATACATTTCAGTTAGGGAATAAAATAATGTTGGGGCATAAACTGATGTTGGGCATAAACGGATGTTGGATAGATAAATATAGGCTTACCACTTGGTTCTATTATCCTATTTCACAGGCTCGGAGGAAGAAGTGGCGGCAGTCCTTAAGGCGGGCAAGACAGGCTCCACTAGGCCAGATCTGTTCTCAAAAGTCAAGCAGGTGAGACATGTTTCAGTGTCTTTTTTTTTTCTTTCTGGGTCTGATTTTTGCCTGTGTGTTGTCTGTGTGTTGTTTTTATGTTGTCCATGTGCTGTCTGGATGCGTCCATTTGTTGTATGTGTGTTGTCGGTGTGTTGTATGCCGGTTGTCTGTGTGCTGCTTGTTTCATTGATTTGATTTGATTCAAGAACCGACATCACAGCACTCACGGCATTCCCATAAGCGCTTCGTCCCCATCTTCAGCAGCCAGCGAAGAGTTCCGATACTAATGGTGCCAGTAGCATTCTGATTAAACGTCCGTCTTGTCTTTTCTCTGAGCCTCGAGCATCTGCCAGAACCTCTCGTCACTCCCCCCTGCATCAATCTCACCAGACTATGATCCATCTGCTCCCCTGAACTGTACACGCTCTCCCACAAGGCACTAACCACGTCTGTCTTATCATGTATCAGCTGCTTGTTTGTTGTTTTATGTTGCCTGTTTTCTCTGTACGTTGTCTGTGCGATGTATTCATGTTGTTTGCGTGTGTTGTATATGTCTGCGTGTTGTATATATGTTGTCTGTTTATTGTATGTATGTTGTCTGCTTTTTGTATGTCTGTTCGTTTATTTTCAGCGTGTTGTCTGTATTGTATATGTATCGCCTGTGTGTTGTCTGTATGTTATAAGTGTGTTGTCTGTATGATATTTGTACATTGTGTTGTTGTTGTTTTTTTACACACCTATTATGAGTTTTAACACCAACTTTTATTACGTGAATGACTTGATCGACAGCTGCTGTGCAGTTGATAAGACCCAAAACTTAGGAGTTTACTTCTGTCCAACTTTTTATTGCAGTTCTCAGTAAACGCACACACATTGTCTCTAGTTTTGTGTGTCGGTGATCGATTATGGACTTGAAATGCTTACCATATCAAAGGTCAGCTAATGAAACTTGAACACGTACAGAATTAAGTCATGCGGGTAATTCTGGGATGTACAAGAGACACTGCAGAAGTATGTATGCGATATATACTTGCACTGCCTACTATTGCAGATAGGCTCAAATTTCTGCAAGCAACGTCATATCTCAGAGTAGTTGAGGACAAGAGGCACCTCCTGCAAGAAGCCCTGGGTCTCAGACTGACAAGAGGGAGGTCTTGGATGCTGCAGGCTGAAGACCCAATTAGACATGTATGCAGGCTTGATAAATTTGGGCGAGGAGAGGAGTGGGTCAAATTTTCTGAGCAAAAATCCGATTTATGTTCGATTCTAATCACGTTAGGTCGTAAGTGCAGAGACTGGCCAGCTGGTGCTGCAGAATCAGATGCTCAACACATATTTCATCACAATTCTCGTCCAGCTGCTGTGACTTTCAATACAGATAGCTCTGTGTTGAGAGGTAAACCAAGTGCACAGGAGTTCATAGCAAAAGCAAATAGTCGCTTAGGTCAACAAAACCTGGCATGATATCACAAAGTCTAGTTTGAAAATGTAGGTGGAAGCAGTCACTGCGGCCTTAAATGGATTGAGAATCAGCCACACATTTCGTAATTGTAATTGACTCACAGATAGTGTTGAGAAAGATAGAAACAGGCATACTCCGTGCAGAGTGGCAAGCATCGCTTCAGATGTCCCGGGTAGTTAGCGTACTTTAGATATTTTCTCCAGGTTATAATGGTGTATTGGGAAACGAGCAGGCAGATAGACTGGTCGGTTCTGAACCACTTGTTGATGAATTGATATATGACAAGCTAGATGTTGTGAGGGCCTTTTTGGGAGCGAGTAAACAGTGCTGAGGCACAAATGACTCATTAATGAAGCTATAGGGAGTTACAAGGAGATTTACAATCAAGAGAAAGGCGAGACGGTGTACAGTCAGGCAGTTACTGGTATAATCTGAACTGGAACTCTTCGCTTGCTGTTGAAGATGGGGCAAAGCGCTTATAAGAGTGTCCCAAGTGCTTTGATTCTCAGTTTAACATTTAACATTAACATTTTGGGGCTTGAATTATCTGGGTGCATTTTCTTGCAGTGTGCCCTCATTTAGTGAAATTAGCTATAGATGTTCTTTTATTATTTTCCTCAATATGCTTTTGTGTATCAAGATTGTCGGCTTTGACAGTCATTGGGCAAAAAGGCGTTTACGTGGAGAGTCATCTCGCTGTGATTTGTCCATCAGACCAACAATAGCAGATATCATCAAGACAAGGCCATGTCAACCATCACATTGATATTTTGACTCTAAACTACCAGTTGTTGGTGACTGCTTCTTTCTTTAGTTGTTTGGCACTTTGATTCTTCTTCTTCTGTCATCTCATTGATAACTTACTCATATATTCTACAAATTCTTGTTGGCGGTGCTTGGCATTTTTCTTTTCGTCTTCGTTTAAATCACGTTTTGTTGAGGAGGATGGTGGGCGTAAGAGTCTTGCCACGTGCTCGGGAGAAAGAAAAAAAATGGGGAGGGGGGTTACCGTGTTTCAAATTCTCAAAGAATGTTTATTTAAGTACCCATAATAATTGTAGAGGTAGTCTGGCTTCCACACAAAGTTATTGGTTACTGAGTAGACACCTATTTATTCTTATGGCTCACAAGCACACTAATGCCAGGTAGTCACTGGCTAAGTATATCAACAATACGCTGGTATAGCTGTTCACAAATCATAATAGCATATGAACAAAGTCATGAGAGGCTAACGGATGCATCTGGAGCAATAACTAAGTATCATCCTGGCTACCACAACTAACTTGATAATCCCGGCTTTGAAAAAAAAAACAAGACACACAAAAAACAAAAACACTTGTCGCAAGTATGAACAACAACTTCTGTCCTCTTTACAGCTTTAAATCCAGTCCATGCCAAGCGAAAACTATTCCTACATTTTAAGGGCACCAGACAGACACATCCGTTCACTGGACAGTCAGACTACTAACTGCCGTGAATTGCTTTACCTGTTTGTCAAGTCCCGTTGTAACCTCCACCTCACCCATAACACTCAGTTACACTTATAGCTCTGCCAGTCTTGTCTACACACAACCCGTCTGACCAATAATTGGCCTTGTTTTTTTATGTTATCAGAATCGACGTCACTGCACATTGGGAATTTCCATGCGTGCTCAGTCCTCCGATGCAGAGCCACTCAAAAGTACTTCTACTAATTATTCCCATGAGAAACTTTTTTTTTTTTTTTGGGGGGGGGGGGGGGGGGGTCCTTCTATCTCGGCCTCGAAAACGGCATAGACGTGCTTCACGATGCTTTACTCCCTTGTCACGCAATCGTGTTAGTGTCAGGGATTCCTCATTATCCACTAGCCCAGTCCGTACAGCGTTGACGATAGTTGCTCTATCCATGCCTTTTCCAGCAATCCTTAGTGCAGTGCTTGCCAGTTGGTCTGCTCGCTCATTTCCCTTTACACCCGCATTACCTGGTATGTAGATTCAGGTTACGGAGGTTAACTGCGATTTTCGAATGCTTTCTACCTATTCTGAGCGCATACCACCTGTTGCTATCTTCTGAAGCATATCCATGGAGTCTGATACAATTACTGTCTGTGTGGCGGTTTGCTCGTGTAATAATCGTCTGCTTGCCTTGGCTTGTTGTCTAGGGGGTGTAGTCTAACGGATGATATAACTGAAACCCTACGATGACACAGATGTTACTAGTCGACTGGTCTCCATGATAGACGACTGTTTATTAACATCTAAACACTTACACAATCTGTCCAGTCCGTGTCCTATTCAACAGCATTCGAGCAACACATTGTTCAGACACCAATACATAGAATCCTGACGCATTCACACTCTGGAGTTCTCCATCTTCAGTTCATCAACTCCGCATGGATGACTCTGGTCGCTGCATTCGTGGTTTCCCGCAACTGAGTTGGGTGACTTTACTGTGATGAATGCTGTAGTCTAGTCATCATCTTGAAGCAATCAGTTTTACGTCCTTATTTACACTAGATCACCGACACGCCCTCTCGCTCCAACGGTCAACACAAACTGTCCGATCAGACTGTGGTCTGATCAGTGTTGGTTCCACGTGGCGACACGTGGTCGTTCTTGGGTTCTACGTGGCGACCCGTGGTCGTTCTCCTTGGGTTCCACGTGGTCACACGTGGTCGTTCCCTCCCTTGAGAACCTCGGTTAATCCAAGTATCTGGCTTCTCTAGGTTTTATGGTGACAATGGGGATTCCCCCTCCCCCCCCCCCCAACTTTCTCAATCAGGATAAAAATATCCCACATTAGAGCTTGGATATCTATACTAAATCTCTAGAAGCAGCGGCTATTTCCATGGTCATACTTGGTTGTCTGGTAAACAGCCGCTGGCCTCCTGTATTGTTTTTCCCCTTCTGTGCGCTCTGTATGCCCATGCTTACCTTGATCAGCGCTTCATTGATCCATCTGTGTTGATGATGATATCTTCTGGGTCTGAATGCTGATCTACCAGTTCCCTTACTTTTGTGTCTACGGCCGCAGGAATTTGATCCCTGCATTACCTTCCGAGTGTGATGACAACCTTGTAGATGCCACGCGTGTCTACTGGTGTAGTCGTCCAGCCTATTCCGTGACTGACACTAATAATTGACCTGTCTGCTGTTATGAGCCAGAGTCTTGTCGTTGTTTCTCTTTCTCTCACAGTGTGTGGTCAAGTTGACTCAAGACAATGCATTTATTTTATCTCTATTTGATCTCTCCTGGTTTTTTTTCTTAGCAATTGTTTGGTGACGAAAAAAAACATGTTGTACGCATTTATTTTAACAAGCATTTGCAGCATTATTTTTAACGTAATTGCATTTGAAAAATATAAAGAGTCAAATTCATTTAATCAGCATGTGTGTGTATGTGTGTGTGTATATATGTTAGAAAACTGCTACGTCATGCATAACAAGGTGGCTGAAAGCATGATACAATTCTGACATATGAATTGCAAAACTAAAGAAAAAAATATTTACAGAAAAAAAATCGAATATCTCCTCGTTACTTTCTATTGCCATGATTATCGTTAATACCCACGAAGGACAACCCTGGGTGCCTCTTGGGTATTCCTCTTGTTGTTGGTGCCTGTTTTTCAAAATGGGCAATGAAATGGGAAACAAACGGATTGAGGAAAAGAGGTTGCCAAGACAAACCCTTAGACGAACTTTGACAAGAGAAGCATAAGTAACTGAGCTGGATTCTATTCATGTTATCGAAAATGTTCAGCAGGACAGAACGAAATGGAAGTGTAGACTGCGACCTATAAACTACACAACAGTATATAAGGAATGATGATGCTGATGATGATGAGGATGATGATGATAATGATAGTGCTTATGTTTTAAAACGGTTTAAACTGTGTCACTGGATTCTCCAGGAGGATGTCGTGTTCACATTAGTCAGTGACCAGGAAAAGCAGACACTGGGTGCCACATTCGAGGTCTCGCTGTCCGTGAAAAACAACAGCAACGAGCAGCGGACAATTTCATCAGGCCTGATTATCGTCAGCACCATGTACTACACTGGCAAACTGAGCAGGCAGCTCAAGAAACTGGATTTCCAGGGTCTGGTCCTCAGTCCCGGTGAAGGTAGGTCGCATCTCTACGGACACACTATACATCACTTCTCTACACACAGCACACTACAGATCAGTTCTCTGCACACAGCACATTACACATCAAATCACTACACACTACACGTCCATTCTTTACACACAACACTTTATACACCTGTTCTCTTCAAAAAAACACTACACACCCATTCTCTACACACTACACACAGCATACAACACATTAGTTCTCTACACACAGCACACTACACATCAGTTCTCTACACACTGTCATACTATACAACCATTCTCTACACACTGTCACAGAGTACTTGCTGTGTAAACACTGTCATACTGTACATTTATTCTCTACACACATCAATTTATACGTCATCTCTTCACACACAGCACACTACTCATCAATTCTCTAGGCGCGGTACATTACATCTCAGTTCTCTACATACGCATTAGTTCTCTACATACAGCACACTACACATCAGTTCTCTAGGCGCGGTACATTACATCTCAGTTCTCTACATACGCATTAGTTCTTCACACACAGCACACTACTCATCAATTCTCTAGGCGCGGTACATTACATCTCAGTTCTCTACATACGCATTAGTTCTTCACACACAGCACACTACTCATCAATTCTCTAGGCGCGGTACATTACATCTCAGTTCTCTACATACGCATTAGTTCTTCACACACAGCACACTACTCATCAATTCTCTAGGCGCGGTACATTACACCTCAGTTCTCTACATACGCATTAGTTCTCTACATACAGCACACTACACATCAGTTCTCTACACACATAAACACTACGCATTATTTCATGACATCACTACACAAACGTATAATTACACTTCAGTTCGCGGCGTCCGTGGGTTAGGCGTTGCGAGTCTGACTCGTAATTCCAAAGTACCGCGATCGAAACCCACTGCTGGCTGCGTGGAATTTTATCATGGTATGTGGTGTCGCAGGTCGACCCAGCCTAAAATATGTATCAGAATGGCTGTCCTAGGAAAGTAAAGACGGCCGGCGTAATGCTGACCACATTACCCACCTAGTGCCGACGGTCTGTAAAAATATTGGTGCTCTTCCCATATACCCGATACGCCTAAAGGTGTGAAAAATGATCTTATCTTTGCTTTACAGTTCAGTTCACTACACACAGCATACTACACATCAGTTCTCTCTTCACATCGCACACTACAGATCCGTTCCCTAAACATAGCACACTGTGCATCAGTGTTCTACATACAGCACACTACACATCAGTTATGTACACACTGTCACATAACACCTTAGTTTCCTACACATTGTCACACTGTACATCAGTAATCTACACACTGAGTTGAATTGAGCTGAGTCAAGAATTGACATCACAGCACTCGGGGCACACCCATACGCGCTCAGTCTCCATCCTGACCAGAGGGTTCCAGTACTAATGGTACCAGTCGCAGTATGTTTATACTTGTGTGTCCGACTAGCGTCTTGCTTGTGTGTAGTGAGTCGACCAGGCCCTCTGATCACACATAGGTGTCTCATTCTATTCTGACTTCGTTACTTGTTCTTAAACCCCATTGACCACATCTGCCTTGTCATGTATCAATTCACGACCTAAAGATACAGATCCATATCCATTGCTTGAAGAAAAGATCCAAAGCATGCTCACTACTAGTGACCTTGCAAGTGAAGCTTACCACTTGCTTGAAGCAAGCCTGTTTTCACCTTTCTCATTATGCTTCAGAGTCAATTACGACAAGTATTTGCATCTTGTTCTTTAGTCACCGAACGCTGCAGTGATCGCCTCCACCTCCATTCTCATGCTAAACTTGTTTTATCATATGTTAGGCTGTCCTGCACTGAAGGCTTTCTACTGGCTTCCACTACGAACCCCCGGGCACTTCTCTTAATTCTTAACACAGGACCATCTGTAGAGATAATCAGGTCATTTGGATGAGAATACTCATGAATCAACTGTTGGACTTCCCCCACCGTAGAGCCCGCTGGCCATTCTCTGCACTCACGGCCTCATGTGATCACGACTCTATACAGGTCAGACTTTTCCTCTGGCACTTTGACTCACTCCTCTCCTCGCTAAATGTTCTCCAAACTTGTATTATTGTATCTTCTGCTTGAGCTATCCATGATTTTCCCCTTTTCAGCCTGTGACGCTTAACTGCTTCATACAGATAGTGCTCTGTTTTCAGCAACTCTGGGGTGTGACTTAGCTTGTGGCACCTTCAGAATATTTATATTTGCAATAGTCGGCAATGCAAGGATGTATCGCATGCACACAACCGGACATCACTCATCTCTGTAGACCGCTCGATCGCCTTATCTACTGACACCTATAGGTTTAGAGCTATCTGTTTCCGATCTCTACACAGTTGTCTATACATTGACACACTACACATCAGTTATTTACACACTGTTATACTACACATCGATTATCTGCACACTGTCACACTACATATCAGTTATCTACACACTGTCACATTACAAATCAGTTATTTACACACTGTTATACTACATATCAGTTATCTACAGAGTTATCTATACATCAACTCTTTACACACTGTGACACTGTCGCGGGTCCCCAAGTGGATGGACGCTTTTGGGATGAGTAGGAATTTTAATCTCAACACTTTACCTAAAGCAGAGAAACTGGACTAATATCCGAGCTATGCTGATCTCAGACAAAGTCCTGGATATCTAAAGAAAACAGCCATATTTGGCTCATCTGTAAATTCACAACAGCTGCACTTGATAGCCACAGGAGAAGGATAGGGATTTTAGGTGTCTAGATTATTATCAATAATATATTGTTAGACAGGGCAAGTGACCCCTCTCGACGACCTCCTCCTGTTGAAGAATTATCAAAGAGCGCCATATATAATTTTACCTAACAGTTTTTTTGTTAAGCATGTAAGAACAAATACACTAGGAATTTAAAAAAAAGATGTAGTATAAACGGGAAATACTGATTTATTATACTAACAATCATTTAGATGAAAACAGTCATGTTAACATGGTCACTGTGTGACAGGCTGATGGTATGGTGGTAATGAGATGCTTCAGCTAGAAAACTGAGCACCTGAGATGATAGTACTGTTCTTATGGTGATATTTCATTGAGAAATACAAATGATGCACATAACTTAGTTATGATTGATGGTAAAAAACAGTACAAGTAAAGGACCCCTTTCCACGCCTTTGGGCCCTATAGGGCTGGACCTATATTTGTATAGACCAATCGGCAAAGGATGGGTGATGTGGTCAGCATCACGCCATGATTGATTGATTTGATTCAAAAACCGACATCACAGCATTCGGGGCATTCCCATAAGCGCTCCGTCCCCATCTTCAGCAGCCAGCGAAGAGTTTCGATACTAATGGTGCCAGAATCATTCTGATGAAACTCAGTCTTACCTTTTCTCTGAGCCTCGAACATCTGCCAGAATCTCTTGTCACTCCCCGCTGCATCAAACTCATCAGTCTGTGGTGATTCTGAGTCATTTACAATCACGATAAGTGTGTGTGTGTTTGGGTGTGTTTGTGTGTGTCGAGTTCTCTAACCAGCGGAAAGCTGCAGTGACCGCCTCCACCTCCATTCTTAAGTTGAATGTTGTGGAATCATATGCTAGGCTCTCCTGCACCAAACGTCGACCATTAACTTTTGCTAAGAAGCCCAAAGCACTTCTTTTGCCTCTTGACACTGACCCGTCTGTGTAAATGATCTAATCCTCTAAACGAGCATTGTGTTGAATTAATTGCTGAATTTCCATCTCCGTGACACCTGCTGGCCAGTCTCTGCATTCCTGGCTCAGTGTGATTATGACCATACACAAGTCTGACTGTTAAGGTGGCACCTTGCCCCATTCCTCTCCTCGCCTAATGTTCTCAATCTGTCTGATCGTGTCTCCTGCCTGAGCCATCCATGTCTTCTCTCTTATCAGCTGCTGACCCTTAACTGCACCCAGGGCAAAGGGTGGTCTGTGTCTGCAGCTACCCTGAGATATGACTTCGCCTGCAGTACTTTGTGCCTACCTGAAACAATCGGTGAACCAAGGATGTATGGCATGCACACCTCTGGGATGTCTCTGGTGCAACCCAGAATAAATGATAACTTGATAAACCTCTGAGAGCCGTCGAGTTGAGGCCCTTCCGATCTGTTACGCAATGTAGGTTCGTTACGGACCATCTGCTTCTGATGACGGGAACTGTAATAATTGAAACAAACACATATGTGTAGTATCTAATACCTTATAATCTCATGTAAAGTATCTAATATAGACTTAAACCAGACATGCACATTCCAATACAAACATCTCACCTCTCCTTCTCTTATCCACATTCTCTCCAGTCTAGTCCGAAAGTCTTATGTCTCCCAATGACGTTCTACAAATCCTGCCTTCCTCTCATGTCCTGTCAAGATAGTTGTCCTACGTCAGTTGTCCGTCTTCACTCAGACTTCGAAACTCTCGGACATTGCTTTATCATGGGCATGTGGTAACAGTTTATGGGCTGAAAATGCTGAAAACCCAGTGTTTGTGTGCAGACTGTCTAGAAATATGATATTTCCAGTGACAGGTAATTATATACTTCCATGGTTTTTCCTTAGGTTGTCAATCCCCTGGATAAGCACATGGTGGACTATCAAAACCATCACCACGTTGTTGAACGCGTGGGCGTACTGTCTTCACATTCAGTGCATATGCCTTTAATATATATTATAATGAAGTGTAATGAAACCTGTGTTCAAGTCGTATTTAATAAACATGAAAACATACACTGAAAAAACATGTAATACAAACATTCAAGAAATAGGTGTAGTTTACCAGCTTCTTAACTCAGATAACAGAAAAACTCAAAAAGAACTATTTCAGGCAAAATGTGTATTAAGATAATTCAGAAAAGGTAGAGTAGAATAGCTTGTCAATTTGGAGAGTAGCTCCTCCCCTTTATTTCTATAAAACAATGTCTACAGGAGAGGATTTAAGCCCTACCTCTGCTGCACCTCCAAACTACAAATATTCTTCATTGTGCCTGTCAATCAGTTCTAACCGCCCATCTCTGAGCAAACATTAAGTAGGGCAAATATAGTTTTCCCCAGGGAAGCCATCACTTTCAAGCTGGCCAGATATCTTCTTCTTCTTCTTCTTCTGCCTTTCTATCCCCCAATGGAGCTTAGGCCCTCAACCAACTTACGCCAAGTCGTTCTATCCTTCGCCATTGCAAGGAGCTCTCCCCATGTCCTCCCAATCTTTCTAACCTCATTCTCCAGCTCTTTTCGCCTTGTGTTTTTTGGCCTTCCTTTATTCCTATGCCCCTGTGGGTTCCAATGCAAAGACATTCTAGTTATGCTGTTCTACTGTTTTCTCAGTGTGTGCCCTATCCAACGCCAGCGTCTTTTCCTCACCTCTTGGTCCACTGGAGCCTGTTTAGTTATTTCCCAAAGTTCTACATAAGTTATTCTATCATACCATTTTATTCCCTCTATTCTGCGCAGGCACCAGTTAATGAATGTCTGTAATTTATTAGTAATTGTCTTTGTTGTTCTCCATGTTTCCTCCCCATACAATAGTACTGATTTGATATTAGAATTAAAAAATTTTAGTTTAGTATTTCTTTTAATTTCTTTTGACCTCCACAAATTCCCTAGTGCTATGAAAGCCCCTCTTGCCTTTTGTGCTGGCCAGATATACTTCTCCTGATTTGCTGGGATCACAGGGCTGATTATGTAACATTTCTGACACCTCTTGTCTGGTTTTCCCAGGTAGACTGTGTAGTAATCTAATTTTTTTTTTAGCTAACATGGTTGTAGTTTGTGGGCTTAGTTGACAGTAAATATAATTCTAGTTTCTGTATGGAATTTTAAAAAAAATTGTTAAACAAATTACATTTTGAAAACACTGAATTCTTTTTGTCACACACACAACACATCGGTTATCTACACATTGCCACACTACACATCAGGTATTTACACGCTGTCACACTACACATTAGTTATCTACACATGCCACACTACACATCAGATATCTACACATTGTCTCTCTACGTCTCAGTTATTCACACGTCACATCAGTTTTCTACTCAGTCACACTAATTGGAATCTGTTCATCTTTCCATACGATAGTGTTATATTGCGCTATTGGGGAGGCATAGGACTCACGGCCCATGGTGATGGCGAGTGTGACCAGCAAGACCAGCCCACGTTAAGAAAAGCATGGGAATTCAGGACCATTGTTGTCAACATTTGTGTTTAGTCTGTTTCTTTTTAGACGTTCAGCTCTCATCCTTTCTGCAATCATTTCTTCCTTCATTCTCATTCCATTCATGATGATTATGGCTGCACCATCTGCAAACAGCAGCACTGTGGTGTACCTTTCTTGTCCTTGTTTTGGCCTTCAGCCTGCGAGCATTTTATAGGCTGCTGTTAGACCGAGAATGGATGAATATACCACCCTCCTGACCTCAAAATGCATGTTCCAAATGAAGTAAGAAGTATATCCCAAAAAAGGGTAGTAGCCAATACACATCCCTGCCTTACTCCGTTGTTGATTACAAACTCGTCCGATGTTAGACCATCAAAATTGATTGTACCTTACATACCTGTGTGGAACGACTCAATAATGTTCAGTAGGGTAGGTGGACACCCATTTTTTTTTTTTCCATTGTGTCGAACAGACCTTTCCGACTCACCAAATCAAATGCATTTGTGAGATCAATAGAAGCAACATACAGTGATTGATTTTGTGCCCGGCATTTTCCAACTGTCGCAATGAGAATATAATATCAGTGGTAGACCGATTCCCACGAAAGCTACACCATGACTCTCGGTAAAAACTGGTCTTCTGGGATCCAGAGTCTTCGCAGAACAATTCTCGCAAGTACTTTTCCAACAGTACACAGCAGTGACATTCCTATATAGTTATTGCAGTCACTCGGATCACCCTTGTTCTTGTACATAGTTATGATGCTTGAGTCTTTGAAGCCTTCTAGAACTATCAGAGTGTTGTTAGCTGATGAATGTGTGGGGTTAGAATGCCTTTCCCACTCCTAATGATCTCAATAGGAATTCCATGCGTCCAGATAGTCAAGAGTTGGTAGCGTCTTCATGACATTAAAAGCACTGTTAGTTTAGTATCTACCGAATACAGCTCCAGATAATGTTACACCCATCTTATCTACCTGCTTTATCTTGTCAATAATAATCTCTCCATTCAAACTCTTGAGTGGTGCATTTTTTAAAATTATTATTATTATTTAGTTTGGCTGATGGTCTTCTTTGTTCCCGCATATATGCCTCTAACTGCTAGCAGTGTGAATGCTTTCACATAACTTGATCCAGTAGTTGTTGGCACAATGCACATTTTGCAAATGATTTCTCGCTTCTCTCAATTCACTGAGGGTGTTCCTTGTTGTTTTTTCCTTGATTCTGATGAGTAACAACGTTTTGTTGTCAATTAAGGGTTGGTGTATCTGGCTGTTTGCTTCAAACCAGCTGTTTTGTCGCCTTAATTGCATCACATTTTAGTCTTGCTGTAGAGTTATCCTGGATATTAGGAAAAGAATCTTTGAGCCTTTGTTGGAACTCAAAACATTTTTCGCGGTATTTAGTTCTGGAACTATTTAACCTGGGGATATATTTGAGTTTCTTTTTTTTTAATGAAATTTTTTTGTTTTGCTTCATCTCAACTGTTGTAGCAACTAGAGAATGGTCAGTATCATAGTCAGAATTGTGGTAGCTGCGAGTTAGTGACACATAGTTCAAGTGCTGTCTCCTAGTGAGAATAAGCTCCAACTGGTGCCAGTGGCCAGTTTTGGATGTTTCCGTGCCACCTTGAGACGGTCTTTAGTTTTGAAAAAAGAGTTTATGATGCACAGGTCACTTCTGGGGCAGAATTCCAATAGTATCAGCCCATTTTCATCATGTGACCAACATTATTTTTTTCCAAGACAATCTTTTTCAATTTCAAATGATGTAATATGTGATGCTTGATGCATATAAAGGGAGGAAACCATTGTTTTTTTTTTGTTTTAACAGGTGATTTAATATTTGTTCTGCGTAATAGAAAAGCAGCTGTTTCAGCAGGTGATGTAATATTTGATGCTTGATGCGTGTAAATGGAGAAAACCGTTGTTTTAACAGGTAATGTAATATTTGATGTTTACAAACTACAGAGAATTTACAGACCATTCAAGTAACAGAAGATGAATACTTTGACAGCCTGGAGGATTTCGGCATGCTTAATGTCAACGCCACGGCTACAATCAACGAAACGTCCCAGAATTTCATCACCAACAAGACTTACTCACTTCGCCAACCTCGACTCACCATACAGGTCAGGTCTCATGAGCATTGTCACTGTTTATTTGTGTATCTTATATTTGCTACTGGCCAGTTTCAGATAAACAGCACCATGCCTCTTATATTTATTATGGACCAGTTTCACATAAATAGCACCATGTCTTTTATATTTACTACTGACCAGTTTATGTTTAAAAGCACCTTGAATCTTTTTTTTTTCTTCTATTTTTCATGTAAATAGCGCCATGTCTCGTAAATGTGGTACCAGTTTCAAATAAATAGCGCCATGTCTCGTATATGTGGTACGAGTTTCAAATAAATAGCGCCATGTCTCGATTATTTGCTACTGGTCAGTTTAACGTAAGTTACACCATATCTCGTAATTTGCTACCAATTTAAAAAAAAACCAAGTCTCTTGTATTAATACTGATCAGTAAATAGCACACTGTCTCTTATATTTGATACTAGTCAGTTTAATGTAAATAGCTACAGGAAAGAACGAACGAACTATATTTTCGAAGGGTCACAAATTGGGCATAATAGCCGTCTTATTTTCTGCCATTAAAAACACTTTTCTCTTTGACTGCCACTGTGTTTTATTTGTAAAGCAGGTGATATTTAGACAACAATTAATATGCTACTAGCTGTACCCGGCCACGCGTTGCTGTGGCATAGTTTGGCTAAATGGAAAAAAAAAATAGAAATCGCACGTGTCTAATATGGTTACTGTCGCAATCATTGTCTGCGCACATACAGAGATAGTCTTCGATGCCCCTTCCCAAATCCACCTACTACTCCCTCCTTCATCAAAGGCTTTTGGAAAATGAAGACAATAGAAATCGCACCTGTCTTATATAGTTAATGTCGCAATCATTCTCTGCACAGATATAGAGATAGTCTGGTTTGCCACTTTAGAACACGCAACATAAAATTGTGTCTTTATATTAGCGGTCGTTTAAATGGTATTATTAGCACAGTAAAGAAAAAATTGTTATTTGTTTATCACATGCTAAAGCTGTATTTGTAAATAACTAAGTAAGTCGTTAAAAAAATGAGAATAGCGGAGGTAGCGTTAGTAAAATATAAACAAATTAAGAAATGAACACTTTCAAATCATTTCAGTCATCACCCCCTCCCCCATCCACGAATACTGCTCTCTCAATCGTCGAAGGATTTGAAAGTCATCATCTGACGATATTTTTTGTAACTGACCTCCATCCGGACTAAAATAGGGAGCAGAAATTGTAATGAGTAGTAAATGTGGCTAGTGTAATATTTACCACACTATCCTTCAAGTACCAGTACAACTACTACCACCACCACCACCACAATAACTAAAATAATGTCATTGCTATCTGTTTTACCATCAGAGTAGACATGAAGTCATTATCCAGAGGATTTGGCGCCGTAAGGTTAATGCTGTCGCCACGGACTGGTCAGGTTAGGATGTGTAATTTTGCTCCCCGACAGAAAAATGCATCACCTTACCGGTGGTCTCTGGCATGACAGCACTACGGTGTAACCGCCCAACCACAACTATTACTGCTATTACTCTGAGTTGGTAAGGCAGTTACTGTGACTCAAAGCTCTCTCCGTTAACAGTTTATGCTACCCTCCCCCCCCCCCCCTCCCCCTCTCAATTCACCGACTACTCTTTCCTTTATCGAAGTAGTTTGGAGAAAAAAAACAAAGTGAAATGCAACGAAAACAGGAAAAATACATATTTGCGAAATAAACGCTTTGATAAACAACTGTCGTATGGCAGTTTTGTCGCGCACCTTTACTTACGGAATATTTTCACAAATCCCTCAGGTGCTCTGAGACAGGAGTGTTTTGAATGGTGGCTCTCGTTCGTCTAGAGGCCTAACCCTCGGTTCAAACTATCCATTCAACCTGTCTCAGGGATGAGATGACTCGAGCTCTGACTCCACAGGGTTATTATGAACACTTGGGTACCTCTCGGCCAGACGTCCTCATCACTATTTTGCCCCCAGACTGGTAAACAACGTAACACAGTCAAACAAGTAAACAACAGTGAATATGACAAGACGTGAATACCTTTCTGACTATGACAATTAATTCACCACAGCGATTTAGCTAAGAACAGCAAGACTAGTGAACTATAATTTAACTGTATTAATTACTTCATAACAAGAAAGATCAAAAGTAGCACGAAGAATCAAATGAAAGATTGTTGAATTCTCTAAAGAACAAAGACAGAGAAAGAGTCTTCCTCCTAATCTACGTCTCTTTCCGGTATCATCACAGCTGGGAGGCAGGAGACGGATTATGAAGGCACATCTGGAATCTAGCCGCTATTGGATGTTACTACGACTTATCTGGTTGGATCCAGCAGCTCCTCAGAGTGTCTGAAAGTATAATTCAGTAACGTCTCACTTCACAGAAAGACTCCACCTGGATGATGATACTTCGAGAATTGATTAAGGGCAATCAACTCCCCAGAGATCGGAAGATGTCGGCTTTACATACAGTACACACATTCAGCAAAGGCAGATCACCACACGTCGGTTGCTTCCAGGTGTCGGTTGGTGGAAAATCAAGACTGCTCCACGGACGCTTGCTGGATCTTCAGAAATCCCATGATAAATGGAAAGAGAATAAAAGCTTGTCTTTTTAACGGTCAAGTGGCACCAAGAAAAGTTTTACGTATGCCCACTTGAACGGACTGCAAAGAAGTGACGTGTGAAACTACAGTCCCTATCTACCGCAGTTGGTGTAGGAATACTGCTCACGTATGCGGTGAAGTGGTCAGACAATTTATTTTAAATAGGCGTAGAAAATGTGTCCTAACGTGTAAATCGTCACTAAAAGCCTAAAAGAATCAATATCAGAGTGAATTATAGGGATTTTTCTTATCTGGACTCCCCCACAACAAACGAACTATATAACTACGGTCGGCCTATCCTATATCATAGTTACAATGACGATTTTGGGGATGTTCAGACTGCCTAATGCGGTAGGTGTGTGGATTCTGTCATGCGACAACAACACAGCCTAATTCCAACGCAATGTCAGAAGAAATAATTAAATCGAAATAAAAATAAATGGAAATCTATGAAAATTCAGCGTAACCATGCAATCGGAAAGTTTGAAATGAAATCATAAGTATGCGAAATAGTCAAATTTAATTATCAACTGGTTTACCCACCTGTACTTTTTTAAGTATTTATGGCCACATGGCTAGTTCAGTTGCTACGACAGTGCAGGTCTGGGTTTTATCCCCCCCCCCCCCCGGGTAAAAAAAAAACAGACGTACTGGGGATTCGAACCCTAAGCTCCCGCACGCGAACCCGGTGTACTAATCAACGAAAAGAGAACAAAACTATGCAAGATGTGTGTCCCGATTCTAACGCAACTCAAAACCGCAGCCAATTGTTTTCTCATAAACAGATATCTCAGATATAAACTTCAAGTATTTTTTAAACGGCACAATAATAGACTTCGTATGTATCTAACAAGGTAAATGTCGCAATCATTGTCTGCGCAGACACAGTCTTTGATCGCCCCCCCCCCCTTCTCAAATCCACCGACTACTTTCTAACTCATCGAAGGTTGTTTGAAAAGAAAGAAAATAGAAACCGTGTCTAATATGGTTAACGTCGCAATCAGCGATATAGAGATAGTTTTGTTTGTTTCATCACGCCGACAAATGGTTGATAAATGGAGCGTCACGACTGCGCATGCGCATTTACGAACGTGGCTTTAATTGAATGTCACTAAAATGGAAATATTAATTACGAAAATTTTTCTAACAAATGTAGTCACCTGTCCCTAGCAATTACAAGTATAATTTCAAACCATGACGGGTAAAAATCCGGTATCAAAACAAACATATCCTGAAAATTTCAGCTAAATCGGTTCAGTAGTTTTCGAGTCTATAGATCATAAACAAACACACAAACATTGATTTATATGTATGTATAGATAGGTTTCACATGAAATACATAAGAGTATGAATGGTAAATCCAAACATTCAAATAATAATACATATCATTCACGCATTCATAGATAATTACATAGATACGTACGTACATATTGCATTCATACACACAAACATACATACACACAAAAAAGACAGACAGACAGACAGACTTTGATGCCAGCGGCGCTTGTTGTTACAAATAATAATCGTTGGTGTCATACATGGTCTCTGTTGGCCTCATCTATAGTCGCCTGTTCTGACTGTCTTAAACAAACGCTTGGCACACATTTCAGCTGGAAACAGTACAGCAGCTGGATTTATCACAACCTAAGAGCATTTTTGATGGGGCTAAAACAGGAACCCACATCTAAGCGCATGCACACACAAGTGGCACCGACACCAAGAAATAAATGCCATACCCCCTACCTCTAAACCCACAACAGTATACTGACAGTCACATCAATATAACAATATGTTTCAAATATTGTGAAATGTATTAACAGATACTGTACAGATAATGGCTGCAATTTGGGTAAAGAGGGCGTCTAAGCCCCGTTACTAAATTTTGCTGTTGGAATAAAAACTGTGGGAATGGAAAGATGGATTCAGGCTTTCGAATGTAAATGCTACAGACGCATCTTACGAATTATTTATTAGAACACAAAACTAATAAATATATCAGAGACAACATTTACAAATTTGGTGGTGTGGGAAATGGGGCGAATGAGCTCGAATCTCCATATTTCAGCAGCTATCACACAAAGACACACATACACACACGCGCACGTGTACGCACACACAGACGCTTTAGAAGCAACTGATCTGCAACAACCTTGTCTCCTGTTGCAGGCTCCCAGACAGGCTGTAGTCAACCAGACGTTCAATGTTGAGGTCTCCTTCCTCAACCCCTACAAGACGCGGAGCCTCACAGACTGCTGGCTTCAACTTGATAGTGTCGTCTCCTTCATGCAATTTGAAGTAGGGTACGTCTGCCTGACATTTATTTTAACTCTTTGCAGTATCAAACAATTCATCGTCAGTTGATTAGCCGCCCCCCCCCCCCCCCTCCCCCAACTCCCAAACACTGTTAGTCCGTCACTCCCCAAAAATGACAAATGTTTTCAGTGCCCCTTTATAGACAGTGGACAGCGCGGAGGCACGCATAGATTATCACTGTCAAAATAGTTTTCAGCGGGAGGTGGCCAGAAATCTGGTCGACACTCAGCATACAGGGGCAAGTCGAGACAAACATCAGACTGTTGCTGGTCGACACTCAGCATACAGGGGCAAGTCGAGACAAACATCAGACTATTGCTAGTCGACACTCAGCATACAGGGGCAAGTCGAGACAAACATCAGACTGTTGCTGGTCAACACTCAGCATACAGGGGCAAGTCGAGACAAACATCAGACTGTTGCTGGTCAACACTCAGCATACAGGGGCAAGTCGAGACAAACATCAGACTGTTGCTGGTCGACACTTAGCATACAGGGGCAAGTCGAGACAAACATCAGACTGTTGCTGCTGCCACTCAGCATACAGGGGCAAGTCGAGACAAACATCAGATGAGACTGTTGCTGCTGCCACTCAGCATTCAGGGGCAAGTCGAGACAAACATCAGATGAGACTGTTGCTGCTGCCATTCAGCATTCAGGGGCAAGTCGAGACAAACATCAGACTGTTGCTGGTCGACACTTAGCATACAGAGCCAAGTCGAGACAAACATCAGACTGTTGCTGCTGCCACTCAGCATTCAGGGGCAAGTCGAGACGAACATCAGGTCAGACTGTTGCTGGTCGATACTGTAACTGGAACTCTGTACTGGCTGCTGAAGATGGGGATGGATAGTTTGTGGGATTGTTCTGAGTGCTGTCATTTCGGTTCTCAGCGCAACTGAAGTCAACTTAGCTGATGTTGTATACTTTTATGAACATCATGTGCCTCATCGATGCGGAGCATTAATTATTTCTATCACAGTTGTGACATCCGTTCCCTTTGTTATTCAGTGTTAGCATTCGTTCTCTTTTATATCACACGGTTAATAATCCCCATTATGGCTTGATTTTAAGAGGGAGTGGGGGGTAAAGTGCTCACCACAAAGTGTCTAAATATGTACCGGTACACCCACAGAGGGTCTATTATAGCAGCAGTAAAAACAAAGAAGCCTTAAAAGAGGTGCGGGTATTCACAAATCACTTGTGTTGTATATTTTCTATATGGATGTGAGAGTGGACTCTCACTGTGGGAATGGAAAGGAGGATTCAGGCCTTCGAATGTAAATGCTACAGATGCATTTTACGAATTAGCTATTGAGAACATAGAACTAATTGATATGTCAGAGACAAAATATACAAATTAGCGGGATAGCAGGAGCATTTCTTGGCAGTGGTGAAACGTTGCAAGCTAGCTTGGTTTGAACACGCGGTAAGACATGATTCGATTGCAAAGACTACTTCAATGAACATTGGGGGGTGGGGGGGGGGGTGTCGAAGCAGAGGAGGGCATAGAAGATCTGGAATGACAACATCAAGAAATGGACCGGAATAAGTTATCACTTATTCAACAAGCAGAAGACAAAGAAAGATGGCGGGTTTTATGTGCTTGTGCTTCCATCAATACAACTCCAAGACCCTTATGGGTCAAGGGTTATGTTATGTTATTACACAGTGCTACATAATGCAATAACACAAGCCATGGTTTCCGCAACATCTGCTGAAATAAATTCTACAACACACAACAGGATGTATCAGTTTGTGTACGGACACGAGAAACATTATCGCCAACGTCAGTCGACAAGGCCCTTAATTTTCTTATTTTTATTCTTCTCCACCTCCCTCTCATTCTCTGTTTCTTCTTTTTCTTCTTCTTCTACCTTCTTTGTGTTTGCCCTTAAAATAATGGTAGGCACGTTTGAGTTATGGTCTAAACTGTGCTGTGATATCTACATCTGTCACATACCGCTCGTGTCTGTTTTAAGGATTTATCCTTAAGAACCAACAGCACTCTGAAATAGAACAATGTTGAGGTGCCGGCTCGTATTGGTCTAAAGGGTATTCCGTGGCCAATATACACCCAGCCTATTTCATGAGTAGGGCAACTCAAGCTATGGCACTACAGAATATATAATATTCCTAGGCGCAACCTGGCTGGACGCCCCCACTACTACAAAAAGATAGCCCCAGGCTATGATATTGTAATAACACAGCCATGTTAACACAGATTAAGATTAATGGTCAAACATACATAAATGCTAGACAGTTTGAACATTGAAACAGGGACACCCAAGTCAGTAATGAAAACTTCTAAAGGCATGTAATAAATGCAACACACAAATCATCAAGACAATCAAAGATGGTTCCAGGTGAATGAAGTTCAGGAACTCAAGTTCAAGAAGTACAGCTGAATCATCCAGAATCAGTCTGAGATTATCGGTGATCATCATCACGATCATCACGACTCCAGGTGGACCTGTAAAAAGAGCATGAGGTATATCGTCATTGATGTACTTATCTAAGTTTGGTGGATGTCACTGCTCTCCTCAGTCTATGTTGATCTAAACAGGCTGGTTTGGGTGGACTGCTTCTTTTCCTGGTCGTCCTGGTGAACACCGACAGAGTTGGTACACTGAAGCTGGACAAAGCTCCTGAGAAAGGTTCTCGTTGACGGATAACAAATGGGTGGCCTACAACAACTGTCTCTTAGCCACTGGAGCCCACACAAGCTCCTGGAGACGGATCTTTTTGAGTGATGACAAATGGGTGGCCTGCAACAACTACCTCTTAGCCACTGGAGCCCAAACAAGCTCCAGCTATGTTGAAGTTGAGGTGGTAGGCAATCTTAATGGATGGTGGTTGGTTGGACCGCTGATTGTCTGCCTGACTTCCAGGAAGGTATCATCCCAAGATTAGGAATCCTTCAAAGATTAAACTGGTATTTTGACTGAGCCAAGATTTAGTCAGAGAGGTGAAGTATTTTTTACACCTAGGAAGGCTGGTAAAGAATGAAACGGACGATTTTTGCGTCGCGTCTCCAGAAAGAAGTGCCAGATTCGTACGCCTAGGAGTAAAAAGGCTTCTCGGAATTCTGAATTTTAATCCAGAAAATATCTATCCCACAACTGTAAGTTTGAAAATGTAAACTCCACAGGTCATCTATAGTTTACATAAATACTTATTACGCCAGATAAAGGTATAAATAGAGATGAGGGACTATATACCCACAGGACAGGTCTATATTTGAAATGTGACCTGCCCGCTAGGGGTGTTAACGTCACAAATATTCAAATGTGTAGGGGTGGCTTGGATCACTTCGCGACAACACCTTTCAGTCTGTATCGGTAATAAACTGTTGAAATCTATCTCAGTTTTAGCATTAGTAACCTTTACATCTGAGGGATCTGTCTCACATTCAGAAAATGGCTACCTGTAGCATAGGCCAACTGTCTGTCACCTCACGAATCATTAAATGCATCCAGATGCTCATCTGTGAGACCACGTTTAGAGTCCAAAGTTCATGGAACTGTCTAATGTAGGAACATTGGTAGGGGAGAAGGTGTCCCTGGCGAAGTGGTCAGTCCGTATTTTTTCTCTCACGCTTTGAAGATTGTGGGTTCGTTTCTAAAAAGGCATCGTTCAGATTACGAGTGCAGTTTTTACAGAGATTCCTAGGGATCGTCATTTGAGTTGTGAAGTTCGTGCTTTGTGCGACGCTCTTGGCAAGTGGCTAGCCGTTCTTCGAAGAGAAATTGGGCCGTACAAGATGAAACGCGGTGCCATCAAGTGGATCCTCTTGACTTTGCTTCAAGAACAACAAGATTGAAGCAATGAAGCAAGTGTCTCTGTTATACCATGCAAGCACAGCGTCAAGTGGTAGTACATAATCTTTAGCTGATGATTATTCATGTGATACATGACCTGTATTCAGATCGTGTTTGCTACTCTAGAAACATTAGTAGTTATCTAATTAAACAGCATTAAGAGTCTATGGTTAGGCTCCAGCAAGGAAATCACAATGAGAATTTGAGAGAAATGAATTTGCCCTGCAGCAACAGACGGATGTGAGTCCTGCACCATCTCTCAGTCTTAAAAAAGAAAATGTAGGCTTTTGAGCCGAAATGCTATAGACATATTTTCAGAATACCATGGACAAAGAAGAGAAGAAATACATTTTAACAGAACTGAACATCAAGGAAGATTCGCTTATAAACAGTATCTTGAAAGCTGAAAAATTTTGGTTAAATCTAGCGCCATGGCGGATTGGAGAAAATAATTTCAGAAGCCATGATACCAGGAAAAAAAAAAGGGGGGGGGGGCAACCAACACGAAGTTGGCCACAAGATATAACTGACTCGTTGAATGTGGAAGTACACGAGGCGGAAAAGTTTACGGAAGAACGAGTTTCTTTCAAGTAGACTGTGATGAGAGCGGCGTTTTGTAAAGGACCTGAAAAATGATGGTGATTAGTAGTAGTCAATTTGACCAGCTTTACTGCAGGCGCGTCGCCCTATAATTTCTCTATTTCTCTGCCAGTGACAATAATCACTTGAAATGCCTTTGACTGCTTAATGTAAAAACTAGTGAACAGACAATTAGTCCCGGCAAAATCCAGGGACACGTACACATAATAAATGCACAAGGCAGTCGCTAGTGATGCTTACACCAGCAATTCCCATGAGAATTGTCGTTTATGGAGTAGTCAGTTGCGATAAGCTGGCCGTAGACATGCAATATTAATATATAAGTCACTTGATCAGACTATGCGCAAACCGGCCACCAGCCATTTTGAGTTTTGGGAACCACAGCGAGCATCCCAAGCAAAATACACTGCTCACAGTGCTGTACCAGGCACTGATCTCGTTAGGTTAGGCAACAAAACGGTACTAGCAATTATTAGAATATATAGATGAGTCTCCAGAAAGGAACTTTCTTTAGACAGTGCTTTTATTTACATGTACTGAGACGTATACGAGTATATAAATACACAGCATGGGATAAGTTTACTAGTATGACTATTCATTATACAATATTTTGGCACCTTAAATATTAAACATCGACACATAATCGTTATAATTATTATCATCATTATCATCATTACACGATGATTGTTCCTTACCCATTCAGCTTTTCACTTATTCACTCATTTGCCACGAATTTTTACAGAAATCTAAATCCAGGTGCCACTTTGAAAGCATCCCTTCCGGTAGCTGCAACGAAAGCGGGAGATCATGACATTATTATGGCACTCCAGTCCAAGCAACTGAAGGGCATCACCGGGGAAACTGTAATCCACATTCAGGAAGAGTGAAATCTGCAGACAGGCCAACCACCAAGCTGCCACCTTGAGATGACAGAACAGTGCACATGATATACCGCCGGACTGTAGTTTTAGTGACCATACATCCATTTTTGAGACTCGAGGCAGACACTTCCCAAAATACTACTTTGTTTGAGATGCCAGTCAAACAATTCAAATAAACGTATCTATGTTTAAAGAAATTCTTCGGACACTTCATAAAAACATATTATGTTTGAGTCACTAATCAAATATTTCTAGAAGCATATCGTGTTTGAGACTTGTGCAATACAGTTCAGATCTGAAGCAATTGCCTTGCAGTGTGACTTAAGGAAATTATATCAAAATATATCAAACTTTAATATTATATTATTAAGTATTTTATCACAAAATTAAATTATAACATCAAACATCTATGCTATATTACACAACTTAACTGTTTTATCACAAAACTAAACTATTGCATTATAAAACTATAACTATTGCACCACGAATCAATTATGCCATCACAAATTACCTGTTTAACTGTAAAATTTCTAGATTCAACCACCCAAACATTGCATCACAAAAATAAGCTGTTCAATAATTTAACATCCAATAGGTCAGCATATTGGATTGTATTCACCTCTTTCTTTACACAATTGGACAAAGCCGCACAGTTAATATATTGCAGTTTAAAAAATTATAATTTAAATCGCTTTCTGGAAATCTTTAAGTATGCTGACAGGTGGATTACAAAATGTAAATAATACAATTATATCGCTAGTATTACTTTTAAAATATATACAGTTTATGTGTATAGAGGTTAGAAAAGAGAAAACATTTATTGTTTGATTCAAACCAACTAAAATTTTTCTTGTAGAATAACCCATATTAAGAATATTTTTCTTGTAACGACCATCCCCAACACCACTTTAACTAAAGACAACAAATTACTTGTTCTATTCTTTCCCAAAAACTAAATAATAAAACGAACAGAAATATGACTGGCCGGTATCATTTTCAAAAATATCAAACCAAAAAACTGGACCAACCAATTTTGAACTTCAATTCAGCCTCAAGATATATGCCTGTCTGACTCCTTCATGGTTCGCGAAGTTTGCTGCCAATTTGCTTTCGCTTCATTATTAATCGCTTGTTTTGTCTTGTGGTCATTGTCAGACCGCTTGGTTGGATGTATTTTCTGCTTAAAATGGCGATTGATATGTTATTGTTACCAAATTGTTATTTTTGTTATTATTTTATAAGCGTTTAAACGTGATTTAAAAATGGTAATTTCTGTAACTTTCAGCTTTAACATTTGTAAAAACATTGTGAATGAGTGACGAGATGTATCGCAGGTTTTCCGCTTAATAATACTAGAGATGACCTATTGTCATTATATTGGTTGTGTTCTCATTTCATGCAGTTATAATTTTATTTTTTCAAATAAAGTACAGTGTAACATATTTAGACAGAGAACGGAAACTAGTCGCACCATATCATTATGACTGGTATAAAATATGTACATGTTCAGATAAGCAGTGGCAGGATCTGCTTTGAGACAACGTTATGCTGACTGCGTCCCAGTATTGGACGCAATTTTTTGTTTTAAAGCTTCAGCCTGGCTGTGGCGGGGGGGGGGGGGGGGGGAGAGAGCCCTGATATAACCCAGCCTATGGTTTGAACGGGGTTTCTGGGACCTGTCCCCGAGTGATCTTCATCCGAATGGTGGCACTTTGTGTCACAGGATATTAATAGATCGGTATGATGTCCTAGTGGGGATTGAACTTCAGTTTTGAGACAACTTGTTTCCTTTTTTCAAAGTCTCTGTTCTACAATGTATGGTATTTTTGGATCTCTATTCCACAATGTGTGGTATTTATGGATCTCTGTTCTACGATGTGTGGTATTAATGGATCTCTATTCTACAATGTGTGGTATTTATGTATCTCTGTTCTACAATGTGTTGTATTTATGGATCTCTATTCTACAATGTGTGGTATTTATGTATCTCTGTTCTACAATGTCTTGTATTTATGGATCTCTATTCTACAATGTGTGGTATTTATGTATCTCTGTTCTACAATGTGTTGTATTTATGGATCTCTATTCTACAATGTGTGGTATTTATGGATCTCTGTTCTACAATGTGTTGTAGTTGTGGGTATCTGTTCTACAGTGTGTGGTAGTTGTGGTTCTCTGTTCAACAGTGTGTGGTAGTTGTGGGTCTGTTCTACAGTGTGTGGTAGTTGTGGTTCTCTGTTCTACAGTGTGTGGTAGTTGTGGTTCTCTGTTCTACAGTGTGTGGTAGATGTGGTTCTCTGTTCTACAGTGTGTGGTAGTTGTGGGTATCTGTTCTACAGTGTGTGGTAGTTGTGAGTCTGTTCTACAGTGTGTGGTAGTTGTGGGTCTCTGTTCTACAGTGTGTGGTAGTTGTGGGTCTCTGTTCTACAGTGTGTGGTAGTTGTGGTTCTCTGTTCTACAGTGTGTGGTAGTTGTGGTTCTCTGTTCTACAGTGTGTGGTAGATGTGAGTCTCTGTTCTACAGTGTGTGGTAGTTGTGAGTCTCTGTTCTACAGTGTGTGGTAGTTGTGAGTCTGTTCTATAGTGTGTGGTAGTTGTGAGTCTGTTCTATAGTGTGTGGTAGTTGTGGGTACAAGAGACACATCCTGTGGAGCAATGAGGTATCTACTTGACTTTCCAACAATGAATCAAAGGATCAGGATGTGGAGGGCTCGGGCATATCTCAAAATATGTGCTGATAAGAAACACCCACTGCATCAAGCGCTTTTTAGTGAAAAGGGCGACAGACTGAAGAGGGAAAAATTGTGGCTAGGTCGGGCAGAAGATGTTATTAGGCAAATATGCAGCCTAACCGACATCATACCTGGTGCAGAATGGAAACCTATGCCTCAGGCGTTTATTTGTACATTTTCCTGTATTGCCACACTCAACAGGCGATGTAGAGAAGAGAATCCTGTTGCTGTTAATGCAGAGGTCAACGCTCTCATCGGTGAAAATTCAGACGAAGCAGATGCAATAATCTATACAGATGGATCCGTTATACGCCAAAAAAGAAGCGCATGGGCATTCACAGCACGCTCAACGGACAGAACAGTCAAAGAAGCCAACGGCGCCTTCTCCATGACAACCAGCAGCTTGATGATGGAGGTGATGGCAGTGACGCAAGCGTTTGCCTGGCTTGAAAAACAAAAATACACCCGTGTATGTTTACTCAGTGATTCAATGAGTATGATCTGGAGGGTTCAGGCAGGTTCAGTGCGAAGACAATGGCTTGAATCATTACAGAAGCCCACTGTGCGTGGAGTCACCTTTATTTTTGTTCCGGGACACGCAGGCGTCGATGAAAATGAAAGAGCTGACAGGTTGGCTGGATCCGCTATCACTACCGACGGTCAGCCTATGGATCATGCTGATATTATCAATGCCCTCAGAGAAATGGGAAGGATAGAGGACTTTGGTAACAGTGAATCCACATCACTCGCCAGAATGGCAGACTTGGGAATTAAGATCGGCACAGCAAAAAACGAGACGCACACCAGAAGACTTGTTAATCAACATAGAACTGGGACTATTAGCCATCGGACGTTGGGGTTCATACTGAGTGTATGATCTGAGCACCTATGGACATGTCCGGAGTGCAATGAGGATAACCCAACTAAGTTGTGGGTCTCTGTTCTATAGTGTGTGGTAGTTGTGGGTCTCTGTTCTACAGTATGTGGTTGTTGTGAGTTTCTGTTCTACAGTGTGTGGTAGTTGTGAGTCTCTGTTCTACAGTATGTGGTTGTGGGGAGTTTCTGTTTTACAGTATGTGGTAGTTGTGAGTCTCTGTTCTACGATGTGTGGTAGTTGTGAGTCTCTGTTCTACGATGTGTGGTAGTTGTGGGTCTCTGTTCTACGATGTGTGGTAGTTGTGAGTCTCTGTTCTACGATGTGTGGTAGTTGTGAGTCTGTTCTACAGTGTGTGGTAGTTGTGTGTCTCTTGTTCTACAATGTGTGGTAGATGTGGTTCTCTGTTATATAATGTGTGGTAGTTGTCAGTCTCTGTTATATAATGTGTGTGGTGGATGTCAGTCTCTGTTTTAAAGTGTGTGGTGGATGTCAGTCTCTGTTATATAATGTGTGGTAGATGTGGTTCTGTTATATAATGTGTGGTGGATGTCAGTCTCTGTTTTAAAGTGTGTGGCAGATATGGGTCTCTGTTCTACAGTGTGTGTAGTCGTCTTATTAAGGTGCAGCTTATAGCCTCTTCAGTGTGGATATTGTTTCCTCTGTACTGTTGGTCGTCTTTCTCTTTGCAGCTTATCAACTCCTTTTATACAACTGTTTAACTTTCTCTTTACAGTTAGTCGCGTGCCTGTATACAACTGATCAACTTTATGTAACTGTCAATTGTCTCTATATAACTGATCAACTTTCTCTATATAACTGGTAAATTGTCTCTATATAACTAATAAATTGTCTCTGTATAAGTAATCAACTTTCTCTATACAACTGGTTGTCTCTACATGACTGGTCAATTGTCTCTGTATAACTGGTCATCTGTCTTTGTATAACTGATCAATTGTCTCTGTATAAGTGACCAACTTTCTCTATATAACTGGTCAGCTGTCTCTGTAAAATTGATCAGTTGTCTCTATATAACTGGTGAGGTGTCTCTATATAACTGTTCAATTGTCTCTATATAACTGATCAATTGTCTTATAACTGGTCAACTGTCTCTTATAACTGGTTGTCTCTGTACAACTGGTCATCTGTCTTTGTATAACTGATCAGTTGTCTCTGTATAACTGATCGATTGTCTCTATATAACTGGTCAACTGTCTCTGTATAACTGATCAATTTTCTTTATTTAACTGATCAGTTGTCTCTGTATAACTGGTGAGCTGTCTCTGTATAACTGGTGAGCTGTCTCTGTATAACTGGTGAGCTGTCTCTGTATAACTGGTGAGCTGTCTCTATATAACTATTCAATTGTCTCTGTATAACTAGTCAGCTGTCTCTGTATAA